AATTAATTTTAATGCTTTGGTTGCAAATAGCAAAAAAGCTGTCCAACTTTTTCATTTTATTGATTCTTACATATATAAATCACGTACATCGGTAAAAATGCTGTAAGAACAAAACTGACATGAATACCCTGTAAGATGAATCACGTTAAAAACGTAAAACTTTGAGTAATATATAAAAATATATACAAATCAAGTTGTATTACAAGTGGGCGGAATTTTTTGTCTTGTTGGTTACCTACGCCCTAAGGGATAGCAATGTAACTACATTTTCGACCTAACATTGGCCCTGGTCTGTTACTAGCCGATTCTTACAAGTCTACGTTATCATTTTTGTTGATGTAACAGGACCTAATAGAGTTAACCCTGTTAACGCGAAAATCGTGAATACCCCTAATCTCTCCTATTACACCATCACTCGTTAAAAACAAATGTAGGCAAATTTAGAGTAAAATTATGAGAAACTCTCTTTTCTTTAGCTTTTTGCATAAAAACCATGTAAGAAACATCTTAATCGAATCTTAAAGAAAGTGCAAGGGTTCATCAGTCCAAACTGAAAAATGTCAATTTGTTTTTCATTGCAATTGAGTTCCTACTAGCATCGATCTGAAAAAAAAGAATATGCATTTTTTATGCTAGAAGTCATTCTGCTTGATTGTGCGGCAACAGTCAGACAGATAGAACCAGCGTCCCATAAGGGACAAAATGCAACGGTTCATCATCTATCCAAACTTAAAAAGTGTCATTCTGTTTTTCTTTGCAATTAAATTCCTGCTATCATCAGTCTGAAAAAAGATTTTGTTCTGATTTCGCAGAATATGGACTATTTACGAAATTCCTTATTTTTTTATGCTAGAAGTCCTTGATACCTCACTTGTATCCTAACGTCTGACAACCTACAACTTTATAGGATAGGGGATGTATCTATTATGAATCAAAGTACAAGGACAGGTCGGAAATTAAGAAAAAAGAAATGTATTAGCCTGATTTAATTAATGCGTATTTAAGAATAAAAATGTAAACAAAAAAACAGGTGTTAAATTCATGGCTGCCATGTTGGTTACCTACGCCCTAACGGATAGAAATATGACTACAATTTCGACCTAACATCTAACATTGGCGCTGGCCCGTTAGATCGAGCAATGTTAACTAACCGATTCTTACAAGTCTACGTCATCATTTTTCTCGATCTAACAGAGTTAACAGGGTAACACAAAGATCGTGAATATAGTTTATTTAGGAACCAGTTCCTCCAGTCCTAGCTGATTTGGTCTACAAACGCGTGTTCCTGCTTTGCATGAATAGTTCGATCAATGCGCGATATACAAATCAAGTTATATTACAAGTGGATGGAATTTTTTGCCTGTCAGTGTATTTTGTTGAAGTTAAATTGTAGCTTGTTTTTATTGAACATCAAAAACCTTCAGTATTTTTGCATGAACCCTATAGCACCAAACAATTGAGATGAAGACTGATAATCAAGTGTATACATCAATAAAAATAGCCTATTTGTCCCCCCATTTTGTTTGCTGCCACTTAAGGTAGTAATTTTCAAAATCACCAATGGTCGGCCGATTTATGATATATATTATTTGATCACGGCCCTCCGCACTCGTTCCTAACACAGTAACAGATTTGACAGATTGTGAAATTGGCCGTAATCATCCAAATCGACAATTTACGTGTTGCCGCTTTCGAATAGGCGTCACGTAGATTTCTATTAGGCATCGGCGGGGCGCAAACAAGTGAAAAAAAGAGAGATCCACCGGGCCCAGAATATGTAGACTGCATCGACCGCGAGTGAAAGCGGGCAGAAAACGAATCCTTCAGTCGTAACCAGGTCCCTGCCGATTATCCATCGTGGAATGATGCGAAAAACGGGAGGAAATTTTACATGGACTTTGATAAGAAAACGTTAAAAAAAAACCCATATCTTCTCGGCCAAGGTCTTAGGAATTTGCATTATAAACACAGGTGAGTTTACAATTCTCAGCACGTTGGTTTTTTTCTTTATTCCCATCCTAGTTCTTTTAGTTTTACTTTTCTGCTCGGATTATCCAATACTGTATTAAGAGACGTCACGAGAAAATCGCCGCCGGTAATAAAAGAAACGCCCCCTCGAGGGTAGATTTTTCAGGATTTGTCAAAAGCAAATGGCCCTTCTTCGCTGATCCTCCCCACGCTATCAGGAACGGCGTTGCGGCCGGTCGGGAGATCACGATGATGAATGGGCACGTTTTCCAGAAAAGTCCTGTTTTCCTTCTGACTGGGGCGTGTAAAAGCATTCACTTGTCTTTAACCCTCGTCTTGCACGTGGTTTGAATACTGCTGAATGGTGGTACTTCAATTAATATCTGCTCTCTAGTTTCTTAGGAAACCGAGTCCTTACGATAGCAAGAACTAAAATAAACCTGGGAAAGACCTTTTACTTAAAATGAGCACATTAAAATGAAAATCTTGCACTTTACATGGGATAATATTGAATCAACACACGATTGCAATATTTATTTTTTATAATCTCTAATAATACTGCTAGTTTCGTAGTGAGTTATTTGCTCATCCTTATAATTCTTTTGATCAATACGTCTCTAATATATACCAAAGAAAGTTTATTATTATATTTAACCTTTGGGCACAATTTCATTCTGGATCGGACACAACAATACGGCCACAGGAACTTCCACAATCTAGGATTCATCAGGTATTTTGGTACAGATTGATAAGAGATAAAAATTCGCGGATTGGTGGAAAAGTAGTTCTACAGTGATCTAGGAGCTATATAGCTGTAAATAATGATTTAATTCTTTGTCATCTCAGTTTTGCTGAACCGTAGATTCATAAAGCGAATTTTTGCACTCAATGGAGGGAAATATTTTGTGGAAGATATTTGTCCTGCTTATTGTTAGTCCATATTAGGGGTTTTCACGATCTTTGAGTTAAACCTGTTAACTCTGTTAGGTCCTGTTAGATCGAGAAAAATGATGACGTCGACTTGTAAGAATCGGCTAGTTAACATTGCTCGATCTAACAGGCCAGAGCCAATGTTACGTTAGGTCGAAAATGTAGTCACTTTGCTATCCGTTAGGGCGTAGGTAACCAAAATGGCAGCCATGAATTTAACAGCTGTTTTTTCTTTACAAGTAGTTTTATTCTTAAATGCACGTTAATTAAAACAAAGCAATACAATTAGTTTTGTTAATTTCTGACCTGCCCTTATATTCTTATTCATAATAGATACATCTACTATCCTACAAAGTTGTACACTGTTAGACGTTAGGATACAGGTTAGGTTTGTCGGCAGGTATATTTTGAAGCTGGTCATTTGTTAGTACTTTTCGAGTGCATTTTGAATGAGAGTTGATTATTAATTTTTTTTTATTAACTTCTGTCATCTTACAATTTAACACAAAACAAAACCATAACAAACAGCAACAATCCTTCAAGGACTAAAATATTAAAACGTTTGTTCGGAGTCTGAATATGTATCACAGTGGCTCTTTTTTAAAATAAACTGTTATAAAATATTAATGACGACCACTGTTTTAACCATTGCGTTAACTCACCTGAGGGAGGATTAAAATAAATCCGAAACGTTGTAGATAAAATCTGGTTGTGGTTTTATTGAGATGACCTATTATTCCACCTTCAAGAAGGTAAAATCATAAGTTAAACTGTTGAGGTCGAAATATAAGAAAACATCCTTCAAGGACTTATAGATTTATTTTTGGTTCTGCCAATCGCCACGCGCAGCATTGCGAAAAAATTAACGTTTAAGATGCTAAGATTATGCTAAGAAAAGAAGAGGGTATTCACTATCTTACTGGATTTCTCTATTCGAGTTACCATCTTACAAGCATCGTGAATATCCCTAACATTTTAAAACTAGATTGTTCTAGGCTGAGATGTTGGAATTTTTACTAGTTAGCCTTGTTGCAGTATGAAATATTACCGTAGGCGTTCTCTAGAAAATGAAAAGTTAGATTAAGATTAGGACAACCTTGACCATGCCCAACATCCTCAGAATAATACGATCAATAAAATTGTGAAACAGAAGGAAAACTAGTCACGCAAATTTAAACGATATTGCGGTGGTTTATTAAGACTCCTTGGCTGAGGTCACGTTATAACATATATAATTTATATATAACAAGTAAATAAATTGTTTAATGTATAAAATGTGTGGTGTTTAGTGACCGTTAGTCAATGATTATTCGAAGATCGTGAGATGCGCTGTGACGTAATTTAAAAAAAAAACTCTTTATCGTGCCAACGTTTCGATCTTTATTGAGATCATCTTCAGGTCTCAAAGTTGTGTGTTTTCCTGTAGTTGTGTCACTGTTTTTTGACGTATTGAGAGTATTAGTGGGTTAATGATATGATGATTAGTATCTCACTAACACTCTCAATACGTAACAGTGACACATCTACCAGAAAAAACACAACTTTGAGACCTGAAGATGATCTCAATAAAGATCGAAACGTTGGCACGATAAAAAAATGTTTTTCTAAAACCTACGTCACACCAGACCGCATTTCACGATGTCCGAATAATGTATAAAATGTTGAATTTCTAAAACGTTAAAACAAAACAGGAATTTTTTATGAAAATCTAATGAATCAAAAATTCATATTTTCATTCGTATTTATGAATTTTATGATAATATATCAATAATAAAATTATTGCACGACTTGTAATTAACATACGATGTCTATGTTGTCACCGGTTTAATGAATAAATTATTACTTACAGATTCACTTTTCCCCATCCTAAATGTATTTGTTAAATTTAAACAATGTTTGTAAATCCCAGGCCCTGAAGATGATCTCAATAAAATCGAAACGTTGGCACGATAAAGAAAATGTTTTTCTGAAACCTACATCACACCAGACCGCATCTCACGATTTCTGAACAATTACTTACAGAATTTTATTTATTATTATTTACTGAAATTGTTTGATGCTTTAATATATTTTTGTGCTTATGTGTATATATTTTTGTTAAGATTGAAGTCGGTAAGCTGAACACGGTGAAACAACAGCTCTTCCGTGTTAACGTCGACGTTCACCAGTTTGTGACTAAGGCCTGTCTGCAGGAATCGACGCTGAAGGACGACATCGCGAGGCTGTACAGGACGTTCGAGGATGTACGAGAAAGGTAAGGAAACCTCAGGATATTGTTGTTAAGAAAGGATCGCCCTGTTTTCGTTTGTAATAAACAGCCGATAAATATTTTATCCCGTGAACCCCGGGTGACTCAGGCATATCACCGCAGATTCCCCAGAAAATATGGTTTTTTAACCCCCGGCCGATTGTTTCCCTCTGTCCGAGTGATTTATTCCCTTGAAAAAGAGGGTGGGCTGCAGGAGCCTCGGATATTAGAAAGTGGACAGATTGAGTCATGGACATTAGGCGACAAGTTCGACCCCGGACAAATAAGAGAATAATGACATCATTTTCCCCCGGTCCCTACGACCCTAATCTAAACAAATTTACTTTCTTCCGCACCGCCTCATTGCGTTTAATCGGACAGATCGACCGGATCAAACGATCAAACTAATAAGTCAAATTTGTCTCAATTTTTACCTTCTCTTTTTTTTAAATTGTAATTTACGGTATTTTCAGGGTGTCCTCGGAAGAAGAGAGCCTAAAAGAACTGACCAAGACTTGGCAGCAGTTCGAGTCGTACCTTTCAAACCTGCAGGTAGAGCTGCGCAACGACTCCGAGACGTTACGACTGTTGGACCAGGCGCTGATGCAGGAAGAGGAAGGTGGAGGAAGTGTACCCCCACACCTGGCCACATCCGTACGCGACCTCGCCAAAATCCTGACGGAGAAGCCGCAGGACCCGCTGATCACCGACCCCCAGGTAACAAGGATGTCCTGTTTTGAAAGAAAACCTTAAAATCCAAACGACCATATATTCGTATTAGAATTTTGATTAGAAATAGCCTACCATCCTGGTAAGCCAAATTTGTTTAACCCTCGGTCATTCGTCGTAGTTTTAAGTTTTGTGCTTTAAACTAGAAGAAATGGCGGATCCAATGACGTTACCCGTTAAATTGCTTTTAGCTTTCAACATCGGGAAAATGTCATGATCGGTTAAGTTGAGGCTTATTCATAGCGTTTACTATTTAAAAATAAAATGCTCAGTTGGGAAATTTTTTTTTTTTTTTTTTAAATTAAATTTATTTATTAAAACTGGTCTTATTAGACCAACCATTAATTTTACAATAATATTATACAATAAATAAATGTTTACATTCTTATAAACCCATTGGTACAATAAGATTTACATTTCACTATTCACTATTCACTTATAACTGCACAAGTTCATATGGCTTTGTTCTTTTTAATCTTCTGATCGTGTTTCGGTAATGTAAGAGTTTAGTTGCNTGGCATATATGTTGTATTTCGAAAATCTTTTTAATGTCTTCGGTATTTTCAAAACTGAGCATGAACAAAGGAAGCGGAGTTGTCTTTTCAACTCCGTTTTCCTTCGTCTTTCTTATTTTATTAACAGCTGATATTATCTTGAAACCTTCGTTTTGGAGGAAAGATACAATATCTATTGGATCACAAGATGGGTGTAAATTCCTGGCCATGACTCTTATGGGCCTGGTTTGTTTATTTTCATATGTATGCCACTCCATGTTTTTTGAGCTGTTCATGAGTTCTGTAATTCTCCTATACTCAGTTTCGTTGTCAACGTTAATTTTTATTTGGTCATTGTTCATGAGTTTAGCTTTAAAGTTAATTTTTTGACCTTGAAGAGCTTCATATATTGGCTTCATATCAGTCACATTGCTTAGTACTAGGGGTGGTGGCCTTTGCACTTTTGCTTGTGTTTTGTCTGATCTGTTATCAACTGGTTTTTTGACTAAATCAAAAGTATTACTTGAAGTTTTGATCTCACATTTTTCAGGAGAAGACATGAATTTTCTTTTTTTATTCTTTTGAACGAGCCATGCCGTTTCTTTGGCTACTATTTCTTCTTCTTCATCAGAAGTCGGTAGTGTGAAATTTTTTTCAGTCTGGCTCGGTGTTGATTTTTGTTCCTTTCCAGTTAGGGACTTAATGTAGGCCTCAGTTGGGAAATTTGGTTTAAAATTGCATTTGGCATTGGATGAAAAGTGCGGTAATCGCCATCCATGATCACGGAACTCAATTTCAGTTTCGTTTGTAGTCTTCGCCGCATCGGATAGATGGCGACTCATGCCTGAAATAAAGCTCATGAATGCTTCGCACGATTAAATCTGTTTAATTATAGCAAATCTATTTAACATGCCATTTATCAATTTGCTAATAAAACCTTATTACATTTTCATAATTTTATGATCCACACAATTATTACGATATTAATCTAAGTTGCAGTGTTAAATCAATAGGGAATCACACTTAGCCAAACTCCAAAAAATATACCACTAAAAGTTGGTTAAAAATAAACCATTTTCGACAAGAAACTTGCCATCGGTTGACATAAAAGGTGACTTATTTTTGACGACTTAATTTTATTTCAAGATAGTCATTTCCACTGTTACAACTTTCTTTATCCTTCATCGGATTTTTCACTTTTTTTTCGACTTCAAAAATCCAAAAGTATTACACACAGAACAAAACAAACATAAACGTAATTTCTTAGAAATGGTTTATATCAACGAGATAAACACAGCATCAATTACAGAACGGATACATGTAAACTCAATCGCAGCTACACCAATATCATTAATAAAATTCAATACAGATATCACATTACATTCCACATCAAATATTTTTCACATAGTCTAATTTCCCAACAATTTAGCTTTCCTTTTCCTATTTTATCCCTTTCTATATAATCCTGAAAGGATAATCTGCCCGAACCATACGGACATCCTTCAAATCCAACGTATATAAACACAAAATACACACCCGACCACCCGTGCACATACGCAGCCCATTGAAATATTATGGGGAAAAGCACAGGGCAGGAAGAAATGACAGTGGGGTACCCGCGGAAGTTTATTGGACTCTTAATTTTATGAGAGTCTATGCGCATTTACGTAGCGACAGTCATGTACGGCCCGAAATGTGGATGTTTTCTAAGACATTCTGAGTGAAATAGTTGAATTTTGGTTGGCACCCTGGGACTCAAATGTGATTTCCTTTATTACCAATTTATCCTCGTAATTATTATTACACGAATTGCCTAAAATAAAATGTGTGATGTTTAGTGACCGTTACTTAATTACTTGGAGGTCGTGAGATGCGGTCTTGTGTGACGTAGGTTTTAGAAAAACGTTTTGTTTATCGTGGCACGTTTCGATCTTTGTTGAGATCATCTTCAGGGCCTAGGATTTATGAACATTGTTTACATATTACAAATACAATGCTAGACAATTTTAGATTAAAAAATGTATTAATACAATGCTAGAAAAAGATACAAAATGAATTTATGCAATGCTAGAAAATGTTAGATAAAAAAATGAATTTATACAATGCTAGAAAATTTTAGATTTACAAAAAATGAATTTATACAATGCTATTAATATAAAATTTTCTAGCATTGTATAAATTCATTTTTTTAATCTATAATTTTCTAGCATTGTATAAATTCATTTTTTATAATCTAAAATTTTCTAGCATTGTATGAATTCATTTTGTATCTAAAATTTTGTAGCATTGTATAATTTTTTTAATCTAAAATTTTCTAGCTTTGTATATATTCATTTTTTTATCTAAAATTTTCTAGCATTGTATAAATTTTATTTTTTACCTAAAATTTTCTAGCATTGTATAATTTTTTTAATCTAAAATTTTCTAGCATTGTATAATTTTTTTAATCTAAAATCTTCTAGCATTGTATAATTTTTTTTAATCTAAAATTTTCTAGCATTGTATAAACTCATTTTTTTATCTAAAATTTTCTAGCATTGTATAAATTCATTTTTTTTCTAAAATTTTCTAGCATTGTATAAATTCATTTTTTTTCTAAAATTTTCTAGCATTGTATAAATTCATTTTTTTCACATCCAACATATTTGTGATATTTAAACAATGTTATATCACTGACACTCTCAACATGACACACAATAATGACTCATCTACACAAAAAAAACCACTTCGACCTCTGAAGATGATCTCAATAAAGATCGAAACGTTGGCCCGATAAAGAAAATGTTTTTCTAAAACCTACGTCAGACCAGACCGCATCTCACGATTTCTAAATAAATATCGATTAACGGTCACTAATCACCACACATTTTTCACTTTGTTTTGTGAGATTGTATCTTAGTCTTCGAGGTGATATAACGGCAGCCGTTTTATCCATAGACGATGCCTATTTCATGAACTATTGATCTAAAGTGAGTAACTTATTAATTAAGTGACGAACAAAGTAAGAGTCGCATGAAGAAACAAACTGTGAGACAGAGTCTTATCAAGAGACAGAGACGAAGTGAAAGGCACATCAGAGAGAAACTGAGGGAGAGAGTAGTAGATAAAAAGAAAAAATGTACAGACAGACATAGAGAGAGAAAAAGAAAAATGGAGGGTGGGAATGAAAGAATGTGATTGTAAGAAAGAGAAAGTGTGTTATGATAGAGAAGTGTCTTGTGAAAAGACACGTAGAAAATTAGAGACCTATGAAGAAACAAACTGATAGAGAGTATTTTTTTTTGTATTATAGCTTTGTTTTTCGTTTGTTTTTATTTGCTTAGCTTTTCACACTGGTATGATAGAACGCTTCGGACGAGAGAGAGAGTAGCAGATAAAAAGAAAAAAATGTACAGACAGACATGGAGAGAGAAAAAGAAAAATGGAGGGTGGGAATGAAAGAGTGTGATTGTAAGAAAAAGAAAGTGTCACTGTTATGATAGATAAGTTTCTTGTGAAAAAACACATAGAAAATTAGAGACCTATGAAGAAACAAACTGATGTTTTTTTTTTTTTTTTTTTTTTTTTGTGTTATAGCTTTGTTTTTATTTGCTTAGCTTTTCACACTCGTATGATAGATCGCATCGGACGAGAGAGAGTAGTAGATAAAAAGAAAAAATGTACAGACAGACATAGAGAGAGAAAAAGAAAAATGGAGGGTGGGAATGAAAGAGTGTGATTGTAAGAAAAAGAAAGTGTCACTGTTATGATAGAAAAGTTTCTTGTGAAAAAACACATAGAAAATTAGAGACCTATGAAGAAACAAACTGATAAGTTTTTTTTTTTTTTTTTGTATTATAGCTTTGTTTTTCGTTTGTTTTCATTTCCTTAGCTTTTCACACTGGTATGAGAGAACGCTTCGGACGAGAGTAGTAGATAAAAAGAAAAAATGTACAGTCAGACAGACATAGAGAGAGAAAAAGAAAAATGGAGGGTGGGAATGAAAGAGTGTAATTGTAAGAAAGAGAAAGTGTCACTGTTATGATAGACAAGTGTCTTGTGAAAAAGACACATAGAAAATTAGAGACCTATGATAGAGAAACAAACTGATAGTGAGAGGGGGGGGAATGAACTTAACTTTTATTTTTTATGTGTTCACATTTAGGACAATATTATCCTCTTATAATTATGCATGCAGCTTTAGGTGCGAATGTTATCTCAGAAGTTTCATGATAAGTACCAATAATTTTTAATCTATATGATAACTTTTCTTTGTTTAATTGTTTCAGTCTTATTATTTTTATTAATATCATTATTATTTATTAGAGAGAATACGAGATAAAGAGAAACTGACAGAGAACAACAATGAGGAAAAAATAGTAGAAACAGAAAAAAGAAAGATGGAAGGGGTGAATGAAAAAGTGGAGTGTATAAGAGAGAAAGTGGCAGTGTGTGTGTTAGAGTGAGTGAGAGGAGAGAGAGAGAGAAAGAGTGAGAGAGAGAGCACGCGCAACTGGAACAAACATTGTTAAATGCAGATTATGCGATAAAGATGGAAAACGCCTTAAAATTCTCAAAGAACGTAGATACTGGAATAGAGTTAGTTTTGCTTTTGCTGTTTCATTTTGTTTTTTAATTTTAATTTTGCTGTTCTTTCATTAGAAATACTGTTCTCGTAAAGTGCGAATATCGCCTGATAAAATACAATTGTAGATAACCAGAGGGCAGGTGAGAGTGATTCCTTGTTTTATGACATTAACGTTCATTGCATTAGGAAATAATTGAAATACTACTTTGAATGATCATTATTTGCGTTTAATGTTTTGTATGTTGGCTTATGGAGCCAAGGTAGATGATCAAGAACTATTTAAAGATGTTATTATACGAAATTGTATCGTAGCGTTTTAATCTAATCCTGTCCCTAGGTTTTAACAGGGGGGCTTGTTTTCCTACTGCTTTGCGTCCCCTCCTTGCCGGACAATCTCCCTGAGAAGAGGGCCGATAATAAATCATAAAAGAACCATCAATCATAAGAGTTTCCGGATAAGGCCAATGCAATATATCGCTCGGGTCGGGATCATCCTCCCAAATAGACGAACGGACCCAGTTTAACAACTGAAATTGTGGCATTATCCACGCTAATGACAATCTCGGACCATCAGTCGCACATGTCCGCCAATCTCGACCCGGACACGTATTTTGTTCATTTTTTCCGCCCCTGGGGGGAAAAAACACAATTCCGTGCACGCTGCGTCTCCCCCGTTTTCAAATCCGGTTTTATTTGAATTTTTATTATTTTTACAAGACCTCGGACAATGGGCTGCACATGTCGCGTGGAATCTCGACTTTTTTTTTTTAATTGTGTATTTTTACTTCCCACAGACCGTATACGATATGACCCCATGTGGTGGCAACTACTCGGATTCCGGCATCTCGGATTCCGGCTCCGAAGGGGATTTGAGCGAAAGAGAAAAGAAATTGGCGGCGTTGAGACGTCTCGTGCGCCACTTGGAAGCCGTTTTAGCACCAGGGTCTGCCGCCATAGTCAACATGGCTAAGGTAATTTGAAATCCGCCTAAAACAACAAATTTTGATTTTTCATCTCAAAACATCATTACAGAGACTTGAACAGACTGAAAAAGATCTAAGAGGACTTCAGGTGACCTGCCGAGATCTCATCGTAAGGACCAATGTGTGCGCCGAAGCGAAAACTTTCAAATCCGACTATAACGGAAATTGTGCCAATGGAAAGCTTCCAAGGTAAGAAGAAACGTCTGGTCATGTTCTTTTCAAGTCAATATCGTATATGTTTCCACCCATCACGATACAAGTCTAGAATTTATTATTATTAAATTTTTTATATCATTGATTGCCGTATTAATCGACTATAAATATTCAACCTAAAATATCTAAAATAGTCTATCCAAGATAACCTCTTTTCATGGAGATTGAGGTTATCATAACCATGTTGAAAAATAGTGGTTATCCAGCATCCCTGATCAAAAATTAAGAAGTTTATCTCACAATGTTAGCTCATCTTGACAACAGTATTAGCGGGGCTGGGAAAAGTCGTTTTTAAATATAACAATAAAGTGGGTAAGAAAATATTCGCAAAAATAAAGTTATTCGCCTTTAAGATTGTCTAACTTGGTTTTCTCTATCCCGTGTAAAGATTGCCCCTTGGTTTACTATGGTCAGACCAAATAATACCTGGATACCAGGTTGACACAACACAGATATGATTGTTCTGACAACAGTAAGCTAGGAACAGCTTGATCAAAGCATCATCATGATACCTATCATGACGTAAACAGTGATGATGTGGCTGTGGTCGACAGGAAGAAAATATTGGACAGTTTTTTGACAGGCGCATTCAACAGCTTGGTCATTTCAGTCCCGAAGCACTAACAAAATACCGCTACACACTCTATACCCAATCACACCTATAAATACATTCATGCCTACATACCCTCGTACTGTTTGGTAGATGGAGTACTCGATATTCCTCCATCTACCTCTTCGCTACAATAAACTACTCTAATTTGGGGTCGATGGGGTACTTTAAAAGTTTTCCACCGTAGACCCAAATCACAGATGCAACATGAAGCGCGATGGGGTTGCTACTTCACCATCATACATTGATCGCACTCATTCTTTGGTAGATGGAGTACTCAATATTCCTCCATCTACCTGTTCCCTATAATAAACTAATCTAAATTGAGGTCGATGGGATATTTTTATAAAATTTCCGCCATCAGCCCAAGTCATCCACACAGCCTGAGAGGCGATGGAGAACCTACTTCGCCATCAGCCCACGTCATCCACACAGCCGAGAGGCGATGGAGAAGCTACTTCGCCATCAGCCCAAGTCATCCACACAGAGAGGCGATGGAGAAGCTACTTCGCCATCAGCCCAAGTCATCCACACAGCCTGAGAGACGATGGAGAAGCTACTTCGCCATCAGTCCCTCCCCATTCACACCGATAAATACATTCACTTATACGAGACACAGAAACATAAAACACATAATATAATAACTCCTATATACAATAAAAAATTCCCAATTCTCCCAAAAGGCGGAACAGGGGATGAAACTCGCTACCGTGTCCGAGAACCATTCTTAATCCGGCGGCATGCCTACACGCTCACTGTATTGAGCCAAGGCATGACACGCCTCTGTTATGTGGGACACATCGAGCAACCTCTGCATAGACAGAAGATTATTAAAAGAAATGTTACACATTAAATCTGATGTTAATTCACTAAATTTGAAAAATATCAATCTTTGCACCTTATACAGTTGACTAATTTAGTCCTTTTTGTCTGAGTTGTGTCATTCTGAGTCTAAAACCACAATTTATTACCTCTCATTTGGTTACAAATGCATCTCTTGTTGTTTTTACTGTTATCATTATAATATTTTAGTTTTACTGACGAGTAAGTTATCCAGTGTTTTCTGATAAATAATGCAATTATTTGTAGAACCCTGATGAAGACCTCAGTAACAGTAAGCTTTGCATAAGTAACAAAACTGGTGATATCCTGACGATCATTCATCCGTCCTTCGTATCCAAGATAATAAGAAGTTCGTTGTACCAACACTGAAAAAAATACATGTCAAACAAAGAGTAAATTTGACAAGTTAACAGTAACAGATCAATTGCTTAGACCGGAGGTCCCCCTCTTAGTTTTAGAATCTAACGTATGTTTGTAATGCTCTTGTTTGAATTTTGATCCTCAACCAAGCAGGCAAATCTAACCTTGTGACCAAGCATCCGTGTATCCTTATGCACTCTTTGTATATTGCTTACTCTAAAATCATCCTTTAGTCCGCTAATAATTGACTGGAGTTGAAGGGAAAGATCCTTCCTGTCGGGTTGTAAAAAGGACTACGCCAATCACCCCCAGCCAGCAGCTTGACGATTTCTTCCGCCACTATGCGGGAAATGTACAGTGGTCCATTAAGAGGAAATTAACCTGGTAATACCATCCAGAGTCAACAGTCAAGGCCAGTCTCCATGAAAACTACGAATTGCTCCGACCCGACTTGTGCAGGATGACACAAGACTGAACGTGAGACAGCCTCGAAGATACGCAGCTTAGCTTTTAGCGGAATCTGGGGCTGTATTATCGCTTTTTTCAGTGATAGTCTGGGCGGGGATTTCAATGAAGAGTCGCACAGAGTTAGTTGTTGATCGTGGAGGGTCTTTAGCGTGGATGAAATTTTGGAACATCATTGCCTATCCTCGATGACATCAACGACAGTCCTAATGGACGATAATCGTCCACATGTCTCATAGTACAAACCTACCTTCAACAGCATAACATCAGGGTCTTAGCCTGGCCAGCCCGTTTTCCAAACATGAACCCCAACGTTTATGAGATAACCTCAAAAGCACGTCCACCACTTCCTGATACTGTCTGCGATCTTGAAAGGACTCTGCGTTAAGAATGGGCTAACCTACAGCAAAGAGACGGCAGTTTACTACATTTTTACTTTTTTAGACTCAATTATTAAACGTTAAAAAACGTGAAACCCTGATTAATATATAAAAATATATACAAATCAAATAATATTACAAGTGGATGGAATTTTTTGCCTATCAGTGTATTTCCTATACAATACAAAAGATAGTTTAAATTTTCTGTTAAAGAAATTTTTCTATTTTGTTCATTCGACATATATGTTCCAAGTTGTATGTATTATATACACATTCCACTCCCTTGCGGACCCTATTCCGGGGTGAATTCCAGAAATGCGCGTTAAATCCTAAAGCTTCTGCCTAGCTTTCCTTATAAGAGGGGACTTCTTCGACTTTTACTGCCGCCTGAAGGTAATTAACGTCCCGGTTTTTGAAATAGTCGATCCTATCCGTCCCACCCTTCCGGAAGGGGTCCGTCTGTCATAACTCCAAATTAAGACGACCTGGCAACAAATTAACCCTTAAATCGAGTGGGGAACCCCCTCGGAGACGATATTGTCTTGCCTCCCCCAAACGTCCCTGACTAATGACCTGCGATGAGGAGGCCCTCCTGAGATATTTACAGGAATTCCCTCCTATTTGTTTCTTGTAAACAATTTATTCCATTTGCATACCCCGGCCCGGGACCCCTTCTTGAGGCAGGAGCCCCCTTCTTTAAAGTCGGAATTAAAAAAAAGAAACGAGGGCGATTTGTTAAACAAAACAAAAAAAAGAATGATTTCACGGACTTGTTGATTCAAAACTTTTAGAAACAGTTATGAAGTGGAAAAACAAATTGAACTAACTACCTAGTAAAAGTTCTAGTTGGTTTTTGATTAACTATGTTCTTTATCAAATTGTGAAATGTGCTTGCAGCATTCGTCAAGTCTGGTGAAGCCAATTCTCAAAACTTTGAAATAATCTCTGTACAATGGAAATTTATTTTTCTATTTCACGAGGTCATATCATTCTTGGACGAAAGATTTAAATGTATCATCAACGGAGATCAACTATAATATTATTTTAGCTAGAGCCCTTAAGATAAAAGACATACAGTCAGGTATATACCTAAATTACTTCATCAGGTCAGATTTGGTAAAGATATGTTATAATTATTATAGCTGAAACGGTGTAAAATAAGGAATACCGAAGAGCGTCATATATCAGGGGTATTCACGATGTTTGTAACATGTTAACTCGTGTAAACTGGAATACAGAAATGTTCAGTAATATTGCGAACGCCCCCCTCTTTTTTTAGCATGTGCTAAGATGCTAATCTGCGCGTGGCGATTGGTAGAACCAAAAATAAAGCTATAACAGTCCTTAAGACTTGTTTTTGTTTGTTTGGTATTGCTTTGTGTTAAATCGTAAGATTCCAGAAGTTAATAACAAAAGAAAATTAATCAACTCTTTCATTCAAAATGACTCTATGCACTCGAAAATTACTATCAAATGACATGCTTCAATTCGTGCCGACATACCTAACCTCTATCCTAACGTTTAACAGCCTAACAATTTTATAGGATATCGAATGTATCTAGTATGAATGAGAGTATAAGGGCAGGTCAGAAATTAACAAAAGAAATGTATTGGTCTAATTTAATTAATGCGTATTTAAAAATAAAAATACGTGTAAACAAAAAACAGCTGTTAAATTAATGGCAGCCATGTTGATTACTTACGCCCTAACGGATAGCATTGGCCCTGGTTATGTTAACTAACCCTACAAGTGTAACATCATACCTAACCTGTATCCTAACGTCTAACAGCCTACAGCTTTATAGGATAGGTGGATGTATCTATTATGAATGGAGGACATATCAGACATTAACAAAAGAAATATATTAGTCTTATTTAATTAATGCGTACTTAAGAATAAAAACACTTGTAAACAAACAAAAAACAGCTGTTAAATTCATGGCTGCCATGTTGGTTAACCTACGCCCTAACCGATAGCAAGGTGACATTTTCGACCTAACATTTAACATTGGCCCTGGCTATGTTAACTAACCCTACAAGTCTACGTCATCATACCTAACCTGTATCCTAACGTCTAACAGCCTACAACTTTGTTGGATAGGTGGATGTATGTATTATGAATGAGGGTATAAGGACAGGTCAGAAATTAACAAAAGAAATATATTGGTCTGATTTGATTAATGCGTACGTAAGAATAAAAATACTCGTAAAAAAACAGCTGTTAAATTCATGTCTTCCATTTTGGTTACCAACGCCCTAACGGATAGCATTTGACTATATTTTTGACCTGACCTAACATTGGCTCTGGCCTGTTAGAT